GATCCACAATCATTGAAAAGATGCTTAACTTCATCATGCAAACTAAACAAAGATGAGAAATCATTTTTTGCTCATTGGATTGGAAAACGTTCAGCAAGCTGTCCAGTATTTGCAAGAATACCAGGAAACACGCACTCACCACCCTGTTCCTGTGAGTGTAATTCGATAAAGACTTTCTGCAAAGTCCTGGCAGCATCTTTCAAAATTTTAAATGCAAATACTTGCTAACCCAGACATTTACTTCCAAGAATATATCTTACAAAACTACTCACTAATGCAGAAAGGGATGCACACAGAAACAAGAATATTCACTGCAACGTTGTTAAGAGTGAAAAATTGGCAACAAGCTGAACATCCACCAATGAAGAAATGGTTCCGTAAATTATAAGAAACTCATTCTGTGCAATGCTATGCAGCCATTGAAAAGACATAGAAAGAACTCCAAGACTTCCAATGTCCATGCGATACATACAATATCGTCCTATCCCATTTATGTAAAATTAAATGCATAAAATACATCTAAACCAGTTGTAGTCCAGTGGATTCCAACTCATGGTTGATCATATGTGTGTCAGAGTAGAGCTGGGTTCCCTCGGGTTTTCAGTGCCTGTGACCTTTCCGAGGTAAATCACCTACATCTACATATCTATACGTGTGTGCATGTTATAAAGACTGGGAGGGCAAAGGTCAAACTGATAAACGTGGTTGTCCTTTGGAGAGAGCCCTGGAAGAGGGCTTACCAGTGGAGGCTTTTCTGTTTTATGCTGTAGAATTTTACACTGTTTGACTCTTTTACAATGAAAATGTATTCTAGCATGACTTACGTGATGTGATACAAATTTAAAAATAAGAAGACTATAAAGTCTCGTGGACTACCAACTGATGAGTGGTTTGTAGTAATAGGTTGAAACTCAGCAATGCGATTGGGTAGTTCTCAATATTACAGCAAGCCCAACCTACACACCTCTTCTGGGTCCTAGTGCTATCAGCTGATGTAGCCTGTTAGTCCCACTAACCTTCTGTCTAGAGGGGCTCTTGAGCAAAAAATACCCATCTCACCTTTTCCATCCGAGTCATGCAGTTGAGATTGATATACACGCTAAGACTGTTTTGCAAATCTTCACTCCCCCTACTCCTATCTTTTATTTAACTTCATCTAACGCTGCATGTTAATGAAAACAAAGCATATAAAGAGAATGGGGGTGAGATCAGGTAAATCAGTCAAAATAAAAACATAAGCTATTGCTTTTCCTAGTGTGAAAACCCAGAAGAGCCTTAGCAACAGTTCTGCTTGCTAAGTGAAAAATTGAATTTAGCTAAAAAAATTGTATCTCCTCTCTCCTTTTTCTCTCTTTAAAGATGCTAGTTGGCTAGCGAGTGGCAAGCCACATTAGTGAGCAATTATTTACACAATGCAGATCCTAAGAAAAGTCACCAGGACCCGAGCCACACAGCATTGACTGAAGCTATCCCTGTCCTGCTACAGCCCAGCCATACTTGGACCTTCCCCATTAGCCTCAAGGACAGCCCCTTGTCCCCAACCTCACTCGTGATGCCTCATCTCCCCTACGGGACATGTCATGGGCATCTTACCACAGTAATCCCGTCATTGAGAAGGGCCTCCCCGAAGATCATCATGTAGAGTGGCTCATTCACACGCGCCTCCTCGAACACGGCCAGTACAGCCACAGGGTCCACGGACGAGATCAGGCTGCCAAACAGCAGGTTCTGCAGCAGGTTAACATCACTGAGGCCAAAGGCCTTAATCTGGCAGATGAAGTAGAGGGAAAGGCCAATGCCAAAGGCATTGATCAGGGCCCCCAGTCCAGCCCACCATAGGATGGAGCCAAAGTTCTCAAAGAAGGGCCGGGTGGGCATGAAGTAACCACCCTCTAGGATAATGGGTGGAAGGAGATACAGGAAGTAGATGTTGGTATCCATGACCGGAGGTGATTTGTGGTCTGTGCCAAAGATGATGCAGCCCACCAGAACCCCAACAATGATGAGGAGGCAGCTTTCTGGTACGAGGCCTGGCAGTCTGTGGTAAAGATGGAAGCCTGGGGAAGAGCAGAGGTTACATGAAGACGTTTGCAAATAGAATGATTCTGGCCACTAATATACCAAGAGATGGGTGTGTACAAGAAGTATTTTAAAGACACATGGATGGGACCTTGGGCAAACTGTCATCTCTGAGCCTCAGCACCCCATCAGCATCAGGTCCTAATTGTGTCCACTTGACCGTGTTGTGTGGGCTTTAAATGAGATCAAGTACTTCACGTGCTGGATCCACTGCAGGTTAGAGAGTATCTTCTCAGCCACTTGTCCCCTTTTCCCTTCTCCTTCCTGCTTCCCCATCTTATAGGGATCTGAAGGGCACACGAGGGAAAAGGAGAGAAGAGGACAGAACCCTTCTGCATTCATGCAAAAGCCACCTG